AATTTCGACCTCCACACCCTTTCGGTCGCCGGCGCATCCAAGACGGCCCAAGACGTCCCCGAGAAAGCCCAAAAGAGGAGCCCGAGAGGCCCCCAAGAGGGACCTAGAGGGGGAACTCACAGAGGCAGTTTTGTCCTCTACACCCGAGTGTGGCCCCAATGACGCCTCCGGTCACCAACAAGCTCCTGCGAGGCCCACACGCCCCCAGCAAGCCCCCGGGGATCCTCCGACATGCCCCAGGACAGCCGCAAGAAAGGCCTCCTGGAGAACATCCGAGCACCTACAGAAGGCCTCTTGCCCAAGACCCAGGCAAGGTGGCCAGATGGGCCTACGGCAACTGCTGCTACAGCTACTTCTTCTTCTTCTTCTAGGGATGCTACGAACACCACAGCCAGCCCGCATTATTCTCAGGATGTGCATTCAGGATGCAGGGGCCTTGGGCGTCCATGCAGTCCATGCCGAGGCTCTTCGAGCTGGGCTGGCCCTCGAATGTGGTTGAGGATGGACAGAAGTTGACCGAAGAGGCAAACATGCCAGAGTAGCCTGGGGAAGTCGGTGATCCATACTGTGCGGGTTTACTGTGCACCGCTGCTGCTCGTGCGACGTCCGGGACAAGGCCGTGGAGACGCCGACGAAGCATGGCCCCGCATCCAGCCCAGGACGCGTCCCCATCCGTGTCGCACCCGCCTCCACTTCCCTGTGTATGATGAAGGGGGGATATGGATATGGATATGGCTCTAACGCGGTGCGTATGAAAGAAAAGGAAAGAACTCCTCAGGAGCCTTTCGCACGCTTGGAGGGGTACTTGGGACATTGCCCGTCCTCCACTCTGCGGAGATAAGCCGCCCCAGTGGGGGTGAGGGTGCCGAGGCAAGGCTGGGCCAAGGAGGCCCGAAGCTGCTCGACGCCGAAACACCCGCAGGAACTACAAATCCACACATTATTCTTGGCTTGATAAACCATTTTGTGAGTCTCGTGAACCCAGCCCCCCCCGATATGTACCGAACGTCCCCTCGGCACCTGGAAAAGGGCGGAGTCGACAGACTGCAGGTTATAGCACTGACTCCTGCGCCACGCCGTGGCTGCCGCTGCCGAAGCCGAGCTCCGACAAACAAGGCACGCACGGCCACTCTCGGACAAGGTGTGCTCGGACTCGAACACGGACACAACGCTGGGCGCTGGCGGTCTGGGTGCCTTGGTCTGATCACGGGCACGTGGAGCGGACGGGGACGCGGCCATGGCCTCGAGAGTGGATCGAAGCAACCTTTTTCGGACGAGCCCTGCTTCCAACTCAATCTTCCCAATTCTTGTCCTGGTATGCTGGCTGACACGCACCATACTGGCAGCAACTCCAGCAAGAGTGTCAGCGACTTGGTTCCCGATGAACATCCACATCGGCAGCTTGGAATCAACATGCTGCTCAGCCTCGAGGTGAGAAGGAACCTGTAAAACGGTAACCTGTGATACATCACGCCCTTCGAGAGCTGAGCCGATGAGCTTCCAAATACTAGCGTTGGGCCCCGAAGGGGCTGAATACTTCTTCTGAAACCACCCATTGACGACCCCGCTATTGTCGGACACGTAAACCAGGGACCCCAAGGTGTGCCTGATCGCCAGTAAGAGGCCCCAGAGCCCCCCCCCGAGGGACAGTCTGAGAGCCTCCAGGAAGTCCTCCAAAGATACACGCTGCAACCGTGGGGTCGCCGTAGTCGCTGAGAGAGACAGCCGAGACACCGACGCGCCGAAGTCGAGAATCACGACTATCTTCACCCCCGCTGCCGTCCCCGAAGACAATGATGGGCTCCTCAGGGGTGCCAATGCCGAGCCCTCCAGCAGCTGGGAAATTGTTATGCCGAGCATGGTACATGTGCCACTGCTCGCTGTCTGGCGGAGGCTCCACTGAGGTCCACCGCGCAGGGATGAGGCCCCGCGACCAGAAACATGCTGCTGCGTCGTGCTCAGCAACAGCACGCGGAACAAGATGAGCAGAGAAAGAATACACTGCATGATCCTTGTTAAAGCTGCACAGCCAGCCTCGGTGAAGAGGTGTCTCCTTGCTCTCCAAACACCGAGGACAGAGGCCATCGCACTGCGCATTCGTCTCATCCGCAACCCTTCCCTTTGGCCATGTCCCTCCCACTGCAATAGCGAACATGGTCTCACATAGCTGAGTGCCGTGCGGTACAGACGAGAGCGCTGCTAGAACTTGCCGAAGAGAATGGTTATCCACCCCGTGCTGGGCCCCTTCCCCGCAAAAATGTGACGCCGCTGACTTCCAAAGCTTGAGACGGACCGTTTTCTCGAACTCGGACACCAACCCACTAAAATCCTCCGACCAAGAAACGACCTCATCGGGGAACGTCCAAATCGCTCCAGGATCGTCATCGCTAGCTGGTGTGTGCCACTCGCTCGGTGATACTGGATCCCATCCGAACTCAAGAAGATATGCGACCATGGCGGAGATGGCCCCCCGCACTGCTTGTGAAACCTGCCGAGGCTCCATCTGCCGAAACTGAGCAACTACACGCGGCCAAGCCGCGCGAACTGCGGGTCGGAGCGACGGATCCTGGAACCAAGTGCGTAACCATAACTGAAAACATTCCCTCGGAAGTTTGTACCCAGGATCATGTCCGTCGGCCCGCAGATCGAGAACCGTAGTTAAACACCGACCGCGCGTGGCCGAAGAAAGCGTGTGACCGAGGCGACGCCTGCACTGCTGCCGAAAGGTGCCGAAAGCCCCCACAATCTGGTGCCCGTAGCTGCCTGCAGCTTGCGCCCCGACACGTTCAAGTAATCCAGTCCTGAGATACTTCCTGGAAGCCCGACCGAACTTACAAATCCTAAAATTCATGCCCTTCGCCTTAGCCACCCGTTTGGTCCGAGAGGCCCGCGCTACGCGACCAGCCCCAAGATCAGCCCCGAGGAGAGTGGTTTGAAGAGCATGCTGCAGATGAAAACCCCGACGCCGAAGGCGTTGGACAACACTTTTGCTGTCAGAGGCGTTGGTGCACATGATGGCGCTCTTGGGTGACACAGGCAAGCCGCGCGCCACAAGGGACCGACACGTGTCGAGCACGCCTTGATATAACTTCTCTCGAACTGCTTTCCGAGAGCCAGCGACATGCTCATTAATATCGTCAACCCAAACTCGAACAGACATAGACGGATGTGCCACTGTAATCTTACCCATGATGAAATAGATCATACATCGCCCGAAACGCGTCCCAGACCTGAGCCCCTGAACGATGCTCTGGACGACCTGGAAGGCCTCGGAGTAGGACCCCAACTGAGAGACCGTACGAGGTGCAGCACACATCTGTAGTTCCAAGAAGAGAACCTCAGGAGGGAACCCAAGCCTGAGAGCAGCCCGAGCCAGAGGACCCCACTGCATCTCATCGTAGAACCCCTTGATGTCTACGAGGCCCCCCCCGAAAGCGATCCCCAAGTTGTGCATGGCCTCGTCCTTCAAAGCGCGGACGAAGGCCTCGCGGAGCGCCGAGTTCCCCGCCACTGCGGCGTCCCACGCAGGCTCGGAGTCCTGAGACCAAGAACGGACGCCGTCCTCCCGAGCACGGGACCAAGTCCTGGTAAACATAGACATGAGACCAATAACGCGGTCAGAACCCGATTTTTTCCCTAAAAGCTTCCCCACGACCAGGAGAACCTGCCAGGGCCAGGAGAGGCATTCCTCGCAGGCATTGTAAAGCCCAGCGAGCTCCGAAACTCCAGCAAAAGGCAAACGTTCCATATCCAACGGGGTGAGTTTGTCAACCCCGAGCCCTGTCTTAGCTCGCATGGAATGTAGCGCTTGACGGACTCTGTCGTGGGAAAGTGGCTCGAGGCGTTCGTGCCGAGCAACTTCGCGAATTTCGTGGAATACTTCCTGGACATCGTGTAGATCGGGTTCCCTTGGGCCCCAGAGCTGTTTCCACGTACTGGCTTTGCTATCAACGATGTCCAGGGGATGATGCATAACCTGGCCGTCGACTACGAGCTCATCGGGGACAGGGGGGTCTTTTTAAGAGCCTTGTGGAGGATCCCAGGAGCCTCCGAGGTCGAAATCCAAGCACTAAACTCCTTAAGAGACGCCCCCAAAGCCCGTCGACGAGCTCGACCTGTGATGCGCTTGGCCGTGACAGCCATCTCGTGCAGGCTGGCATCAAGCATGTCGGTGACCGTTAGTAGCCGAGCTTGCCACTCGCTCCACGAGGCCACGGTCGGGTCGGCAAACGAAGCGAGAGGCACGTGTACGCTGTCTGGCTGGTCCCCCGCCAAGGCCGCACACGCCTCCACGAGCTGCTGCTGCTGTATGGGTCCGTTGCCACGAGAACGATGCAAGCTGAGCTTGGTCAGTACTGTGGTGACCCTGCCCCACCAAGACGACACCTGATCATGAAGAGGCTGTTCCCGAACTTTAGATGGAGCTTTAACCTCGGTGACGGTGTACTTAGGCCCTGAGTCCCTGGAAGGCCCCGCTAGATTCGTCCCATGGTGAATACAGACGGTACGCTCCAAAGCTTTGACCCAAGATCCATAAAGAGCTCCCAAACGTAGAATATGTGGTCCCCCAACCGCAAACGCAGCAGAGTTGGCAATGGCAGGAAGAACATCCGAGGCGCCCGCGGAGTCCGTGTAGCCCACTTGTGCCCTGCAGGAGTCCCAGAGGTCAGAGGGGAGGAAAAAGGCAGGCAGGGCACCGCCAAGGGTGCTCGAGGGGACCTCGGGGGAGGCAGAACAACTGGGTGGGTCCCGAGACTCGTGGGGTGCGGTAAGCACACTCGATATGCCGTGAGACGGAGCCGCGACATCTGCCTCTTCGGGCCTGGGCGAGGCTGGAGGCACGGCAGCCGCTGGGCTGCCAGCCTCGGGTCCAGAGAAACCTGGGGGCACGTAGTCGCCCTCACCGTCCGACTCAGGCCAGTCGGAGGCAAGAGAATTGGCCTGCGCACTAGGCTCGCCCTCAGAGGAAGAAGCCGTCGCCGATGTAGACGCCGCCCCACCTCCAGCAGAGCAGAGGTCTCCGAACATCTCATCCGTCGCCGTCGCCATCCTGTCCTGGGCCGCCCGTCGTGCCAGGACGCGCTCCCCTCGGGCCACGGACGACTTGGAACCCTCTTGCGGCTGGGTGGTAGGTCGAGGTACTTGTGGGAGTTGAGCTGCAAGCACCAGCTGCCGACACAACAGTTGAGACCCCGAACTTCTCAGCCGAAGTTGAAGCCCGCAATGCGGTCGCCAAGGCACTGACAAAACTGCACTCAAACCCACGATATACGGTAACGCCGAATAGCTGGCCACGACATAGTCCAGCGTGCTGCCCTTGCCCATGCCGCCCACGCAGGTGTACTCCGTGTCGGCAGCGGTGAGGACATTGGCACCCACACGATCCAAAAACCCAGCGTCGGCCAGGACGGACGGTGGGAGATTGAAGTCGCCTATGCAAATCCACGGCAGCTTCAGCTGAGAGACGAGGGCCCCCAGCTTGGCGAAACGCACCAAGCTCCTGCCGTGGAGGCCCTCGGAGCAGTAGCCGTAGAAGGCGATCAGCACGATGGAATACCCTTGCTGGTTGAGGATCGCCACCGTGAGCCCGTCCAGGGCGGCGCTGCCTTCGGCCTTGAGGTCGCGGCACACAGAGTCGGTGTCATGGACCCTGTGGAACTGTAAATGCTGCCTCCCAAGGATCCACTCGCCGCCCTCGTTGGCCCTGTCCTTGGTGGCCTCCGATTGCTCGCGGCCCGCCCCGCGAGCTGGATTGTCTATCAACTTGAGATGCGACTTGCGTGCCTGGCCCTTCCAGTGCTGCAAGTCGCTGGCGGACTCGATGTGAGTCTCAACTAGCAGGAAGTAGTGATACGGAGTCGAAGCGGGCCCAGTCACGTAGTCCCAGGCCTGCTTCCCCATGGCAGTGACATTAGAGAAAAATATGAATGTGTCACTCTGGCTCTTGGAGGTCGTGGCGACCTCAGTACCCCAAGGCAGGTCAGTCTGCAACGCAGACTCTCCCCGAGCGGTCGTCGACGTGGCTGCCTGCACACCCGCGCCGCCGCTCCTGCCCGTTCGTCACTTGCCGCCACCAGCGGCCGCCGCCCCAGCGCCGCCAGCCGCCTCCTTCTTGGCCGCCTCGGACGCCTGCATGGCGGCAGCCTTGGAAGCGCTGATCTTGGCCGCGGCCTGCTGGATGCGGGCCTCGCGCGCCTCCCGAGCGACTCTGGCTGCCTCGGGGTCGGCCGCGGCGGGGGCGGCGGCTGGGGGGGCGGCCGCCGCCGCGCTGCCTGCGGCCGCGCCCGCTGCCGCGGCGGCGGTGGGTGGGGCGCCAGCAGCTGCAGCCGCCTGCGCACCACCACCTGCTGCCCCGACTGCTGAGGAGCCACTGTCGCCCTTGCGCTTCTTGGCCATCCTGTCGGTGAGCTGGCTCTGGAGCTCCTTGGCCCGCTGCAACCAGTCGCCCACCTGCGTGTTCTTGGTGGCAAGCTGGTCCTTCACTGCTTTGAGGTCGGACTCCAGCTTGCGAAGCTCCTGAACTTCAGACTGCTCGGCCTCCATGCTGTCAAGATTGCGGAAGAAATCCTCGTCCCATGTAATCTGAAAAAAGGTCTTGCTCTCGGCGCAGCCTTCACCTTCCTGGACAGTGACGCCCAGCTTGGCGGCGAGGGCCTGCGCGGCGAGCTTCTTGGTGTCCTCGGCTTGGGCGAGAACGAGTGCGGCCAGGCGCTCCTTCTCCTGCGCCTCCTCCACGGCATCTCGACACTTGAGAAGTCGCGCCATGGCCTGGTCGTGCTTGGCGGAGGCGTCGCGGACGGCGCCGTCTGCCAGCCGTAGTGCGTCCTCTGGGGGCACAGCAGACTGCCGAGCCCGCTTGTGCCTGAGGTCGTCGATCTGCGACTGGATCATCCTGCGAAGGGCGGGGTCCTCCGTGCACCTGAGAGCAGCCTCCAGGGTCAAGATGGCCTTGTCCTCTGCCGAGACTGAGTCGCTGGGCCCCTTCCCGACGACGGGAACCTTGCCCGCCTTGCCCTCCTTGGAGTTGCTCCCCTTAGCGGCGTAGAGGTCGACCTTTACTCCGCAGCGGCTGCGCTTGCAGGCCTGCTTCTGCAGGACCCCGTTCCACTCGTGCGCGCCACAGCTCTTGCAGGTGGACCACGGCGAGACTGAACCTCGCTGTTGCTTCCCAGGCATCCTGGGAGGTGTGCTGCCGTGGTGGTCCTGCAACCGAACGATGTCCCTCTCGCGCTGCAGCCGAGCCCTGGAGGCCGCCCGCTGGCGCCGCGCCCTGCGGTGCCACACCGGTGAGCGGGACCGCCCTGCGATGGCGGCCGTCGTGCCCGCTCCTGAGGCAAGAGGAAAGAAGTCGCCCCGCGGGGCTGGGGTCGTGGTCTGTCGGGCCGCTAGCCCAAAATGGGGCGCCTCGGACCAAAACGCCTTATGATGAAGGGGGGGAAGAGCGAGAGGGAGAGGAAGAGAGGAAGAGAGAATGAGGGTGAAAATGGTGAAGGGGGGCGAGGACCGTGGGGGAAAACCCGTCATCTTCCTTACGGGCTCGTCCTTCTCCTCCTCCTCCTCCTCTTCCTTCTCCTCCTCCTCCTCCTCCTCCTCCCCCCTGTCCCTCTTTGACTCCTCTCCCCTCCCCTTACCCCTGCCCCCCCCGCCCCACTCATCCCTGCTCCACCCCATCACCCCTCTCTTCATTCCGCAACCCTCCCCCCCCCCTCCATCCCATCACTCCTCCTGCCGCACTCCCACTGCCCTCCTCCTCCTCCTCCTCCTTACTGGCCTGTGAGGCCGGGGGCCATCAGCCCTGCTGCACCGCTGACGCAACGCGGTCTCCCAGGCGGCCCCCACCATCACCTGCGCTGCATGGGGGAGGGAAGGAGAACGCGTGTTCCGAGGAAGGGGGTAGGGGTAGCGAGGACGGAGCGGGGATGGGAGGAGGGCGGCAAGAGGGGCGGAGGGCGGGAAGGGGAGGAGGAAGGAGAGGGATGGATGGAAGAGGTAGGGGAAGGGGGAAGAGGGATGCATGGAGGAGGGGCCAAGAGAACGGTGCCATGTGGGGGGGGGGGGGCGGCGAGCACTCGTGGCGCGTACTGCGAGCCCCAAGGCGTGCACACGCGGCCATCGAATGGATGGCACTGCAGGGCAATCAACTGGGCGCGGCAAAAACGGGTGTCAGGAAAATGGGCCGTGAAGGGGCCCTGAAGGACCCGTGAACTGCAACCCCACGTCCACACGGCGTGCTGGAGAGGTTGAAGGGGCCCAAGGACACAGAATATTTACACACAGGAGGAGGAGGAGGAGGAGGAGGAGGAGGAGGAGGAGGAGGAGGAGGAAGAAGAGGAGGATTTCCCCTATATTTTCTGGGTTTTGTCTTCCCTCCCACTTCCCATATTTCCTTATATTTTCTTCGGGGATCGACGATCAATTGCGTCTGTGTGCTTCTTGCCCTCCTGAGTGCTGGAGAGGTGCGCACCCGCCCGAGGCCAACACCCCCCTTCGCCGCGCGGGCCCCGGTGCCGCCGCCGTCGCCGCCGGAGATCCGAGGGTTCGCAGGCACTCGCCGCTGAAAACTCCACCGCGACGGGCGACGCGGGCGTCGCGCGAAACCGAGTCAGGATGCCCCAGGGGGCCGAAACCGAGACAGGATCTTAGTGGGCTTTGGAAACGACAGGGCCGTTTTTTTACTGGTTCCGTTCTGCCGTTTTTTTGCCGGTTCCGACGCCGTTTTTTTACCGGTTCCGTCGCCGTTTTTTGACCGGTTCCGGCTCCGGTTCCAATCCTGGAGCCGTTTTTGTTGCCGTTTCCGGTCGCCATTTTTTTGCCGTTTCCATTTTCAGGGGACACTTTTTGGGAAACGGTGAAAAAACGGCCCTACCGTTTCCGGGGCCCACTAAGGACAGGATGCCCAGATCGACAGGATCGGATCGACGGAGAGATCTGGGATCCATGTCTGCGGGCCTCCTCGGTACCTCTGGGGCAGCACTGCCGTCGCCTGCGCGCAAGAGTGACCCTGGCAGGAGTGACCTTCGGGGCGCGGCCTTCGGGGAGTGGTCAGATCCCTTTGGACGCCCGAAATGGGTACGGACAATAATTGGCACAATGCCCAACAACAAATGCTGTCCCAGACCAACAGCGGCCGCTGTTGGGCAGGCGGCCTGTCTCAAATGGACACAGGCCGCTGCGGCGCGGACAGGGACTGCTGTTGGGCATCGTACCCATTCTTTCCGCACCCATTTCGCTCGTGCCGATCATCTGCTCGCCTTGGGCTGACTCGCCATCGAGACTGGGCTGACGGGCACTGTGCGCTGCCCTCGCGCCGGGTGACAGGCGAGCCTGACGCCGGCTGGCATCGAGGTCTTGACGAGGAGACACGCTCCCCTGCACCTCTGTTTCCCTGGCGTGGCTTCCCTGCTCTCTTCTTGCGCCAACCGCATGCAGCTCAGCGGGCGGCTATGTCTAGCACCGGTCAGGAGTCCCTGTATGATGCTGGTGTCCACAGCTCGCCATCGCTCACACGTCCATTCCCTGTGCTTTTTTGGTTTCGTGCGTGGCTTTGTCGCCAAATGATCAAGGATGCTCCTCGATGGTCCTCGCCGAGATAAAAATGCACACGTCCGAGCGATGCCAGGTCCTCTCTCGGACTTGACCAGGCACTCCGAAGACCGCCCGAAACAAGCACCGCTGTCTCGACTGGGCCGCCTCCGAATCTCACGATGGCCGCCTCACCGCACCCGTCGGGGGGGACGTACACGTGGGGGGTAACTCCAAAGGTGGGCTTGGAGCAAAATCGCTCCAGGCAGCCCCTGGAGGAGGACAATATCCGCCTCAGGCTGGGTTCGCTCCCTAATCCAACACTGGTCTGAACCCCCCCCCTTGACGAACGAGCAGCCCACACCCATATCCACAGGAGGGTCGGAGGAAGGAGATCTGGCGATGGGTTATGGGTGCGGATTGTCAGATCCTGTGGGAGGCTCCCGTTCGAGCGGGGACCCCCATCTGGCGATACGCGCCCTCAGCCTCCTCCGTCCCACACATGGGTATGGGTGCGAGGAGATGGGGTCGGATGATCGCGCTGCATCGCCAACGCATCGCCGAGACACTGGGGATGCATCGGCGCCGTGGGCGTGGAAAAGGACGGGCTCCACATCGAGCCGCATCGCCGATGCATCGCCGATGCGGCGCTTCCCTCTGACCCCTGTCTGCGCCTCACTCGGGCGGCTGAAACTACGCGTCTTCGAACCTTTGAGGAAGAAACAAATGTACACACATGAGCTTTCGGAGGTCAGCGGGGATTTCTTGGATGCGCGCTGAATAAATCCCTGGCGCGCGGAGCGCGCCAGGGGCGGCGCCCGAGGCGCTGCAAGGGGGGCCATAGCGTCGATCCAAGAGATCTGCGCGCAGCTCCGAAAGTTCCTGGTTGGCGCTGGAAAGATGGCGTGCAGCACCGGTCTCCGAGAAGGACGCCATTCCAGAGAGGCGATCCCCCACGAGGGCCCCAGGAGGAGGAGGAGGAGGAGGGGGAGGAGGAGGAGGAGGAGGAGGAGGAGGAGGAGGAGGAGGAGGTGGAGGTGGAGGAGGAGGAGGAGGAGGAGGAGGAGGAGGAGGAGGAGGAGGTGGTGGTGGCGGAGGAGGAGGAGGAGGACGTGTATCCCCCTGCCATGGCGCCTTCGGTGAGAGCCATCCCCGAGAGAAGGTGGACAGCGTGAGGTTACGCGGGCCGGCGGCGCCACGGCGCACGCCAGCTTGCCAACGGTAAAGCGTAGCTCTGTTTGAAGTCGGGCAGCACGGATCGACTTACCCTCGCAGGGGAACACACAATGATACTGAAGGGGCCCCAGGACACACAAATAAATACACACAAATAAATACACACAAATAAGAATATTCCCCATATGTTCCCATATCTTCTGGGTTTTCGTCTTCCCCCCACTTAACAGATTTTCCAATATTTTCTGGGGAATCGACGATTAATTGTGTCTGTGTGTTTCTTTTCCTCCTGAGATATGCGTGGTGAGCTTCGCGCGCGGCCAGCCGATTGCCAAGATTCTTCAGTTTGATGCGGCCGTGTTTTAGCAGCCCCATTGCTGAGGGGGAAGGGTCCGAACTCCTGCCGCTCTCACCCCATCATCACACCATGATATGAACGTCAACTGCTGGATGTCCGCGCGGATTTCTCGGGTCAACGCTGGGGCCCCCTGGAGGCGCCTCTGGCGCCGACCCTGGCGCGCTCCGCGCGCCAGGGTGGGGGGTCCAGCGCCAATCGGAGGAACTCGCGCGGACCTGCAAAAGTTTCGGGGGCGCGCAAACATGCACATGCATTAGCGATCCATGGATGTGGCGCGCGGTCGCCAGATCCAAGCATCGGGGGAGCTGCCCCCCCGATAAAATGCGGCCAGTGCCGCTTCGCTCGGCGGCGGAGATCTGCGATTCCCCATGGAAGCGGGACCCGTCTCGGGGATGGACAGACCTCCCTTTAGTAAAACGTGGTTTAGTGAAAACGACCTGAGGCCCAAACCTGGCGGGTGCAAGCCTGGCAGATAACGGCCGCGGCGCCCTCTCGAGAACCGAAAACGGACAATTCACTAATCGACGTGTCACTCTTGGGGGTTCTGTCCGCCCCCGACCGTCGCTCATCCACGCCCCCCTGATCCATGCTTGCGGTCGCCCGAGTCCTTGCGGGCGTTGGGCCCGAAGCCGTCGAGCTGCGCGGCGACCCCTCCGCCGCTTCGCGCACCCCTCGCGCGAGGCGGAGGAGGACGAGAGGGAGGAGGAGGAAAAGGAGGAGGGGGAGGAAAAGGAGGAGGAGGAGGAGGACGAGGAGGAGGAGGAAGAGGAGGAAGAGGAGGACGAGAAAGAGGATGAGGAGGAGGAAAAGGAGGAAAAGGAGGAGGAGCAGGAGGATCCACGTTTGCGATCGCCTGCAAATTGATGCTTGCGTCATCGTGTGCTCCCACACCTCGGGAGGCTCTCCCGGGTGCTGCTCCGGGGGCGTCGGCGCGGCCGCCGTGCTCTCTCCCCTCGCCCCCGTCTCTCGTTCCCCCTCCTCGTTGTCCTCGTCGTCGTCTCGTTGTCCTCGTCGTCGCTTCGTTGTCCTCGTCGCCGTTTCGTTGTTTTCGTCGTCGTCGTCGTTTCGTTGTCCTCTGTTCCCCCTCCTCGTTGTCCTCGTCGTCGTTTCTCCTCAGCTCGCCGCTGGGCTCCGCTGCGCTGGCAGAAACAAGTGCTCCCCGACCTCGATCCCTGCGGGGACAGCAAGCGGCCACGACCACATCCATGATGCCCCCTGGGGGATGTATTGCGCATGCCAAACGTGTCGGAACACCGAGGCCAGCTTCGAGCTGGATGCGGTCGATGTGGCGTCTCAGGACGGCCAATCGACTACAACCAAACAAAGAATGCTCATGTCGAGGCCGGTGGGTTCTCCCCCGAACAGCCCTCCCGAAAAATCCACTTACACATCGGTCGGGGGAAGCAGGCAGAAACATGAATTAGGAAGGCGTTGAAGTAGAGATTGGGCTCCGTCCGCTCCTTAAGAAGGACGGAAAGGGTGAAGCCACTCGATCATTGAAGTAGAAAGGCGCTTCAAGTGGATTGGAACAGAGAAACCCAAAAACACCTACAGTCGGGGCGTTGACCTAAGGAACCCTAAATAAGGAACGAGGCCCCTTTTTTTCCGTAAGTTAGACTTCGATTTACCATTGAAAACCTAAGGAAACCCAAGGCAAATTGTAAAACAATCAAGGAACACCGAGCCCCTCCCCAACGAACAGGGTTCCTTCTTCAGCGCCCCGACTGTACTTTCAACGACCGATGGGCAGACGTGGTTGTGGCTCTTAGCTGTGCCCGGAAGCCCGGCACTTCGCCCCTCCCAGGGGGGGCCGCCACGGTGGCGCCGAGCGGGCCTCCGGAGCTGCCGCGCGTCCAGCGCGGGGCTCGCCTGGGACGCGCGCTTTCGAGGGCGAGTGCGCCCGCCGCAGAGGGGGCGGCTGCAGCGAAGGCTGAGGAGGAGGAGGAGGAGGAGGAGGAGGAGGAGGAGGAGGAGGAGATGGAGGAGACGGAGGAGGAGGAGGAGGAGGAGGAGGAGGAGGAGGAGGAGAAGACAGAGGAGGAGGAGCAGGAGGAGGAGGAGGAGGAGGAGGAGGGGGAGGAGGAGGAGGAGGAGGAGGAGGAGGAGGAGGAGGAGGAGGAGGAGGAGGAGGCGGGCGCGGCCGAAAGAGGGGGCGGAAGAAGCGAGCCGCTCAGGGGGACGGGTCACGCCCCGAGCGTGTCGGGCCAAAGCACAGGCTTACGCTAGAGGCCAACCAGATTGGCCCTCCCGGAGACGCGCGGCGAGGGGCCCCCAAAGGCCAAACGTTGGCACACGTCATGCGTCGCGTTCTTGCTCAAGACGCGGACGTGTCTGGGCTTGGGCCCTCTACTTCTTTAGGCCTCCCGGTCCCAGCGGGCGGGTGGCAGGTGGGGGGGGACCCACATGGGCCCTTTCGCGCTCCTCTTGGGCCCCCGCTGGCTCCAAGCGGGGACCCTGCAGGGCCACTTCGGGGCCCTGCTCTTCGACCTCCTCGAGGCCACCCCCACGACCACCCGCCCGATCCCCGATGGGGTTCGAGTGGGCGGTGTCGAAGGATCGCGCCGATGCATCGGCGAGTTCGGCGATGCATCGGCGACGTCGACGTGGAGGAACGCGGGATCCACATCGAGCCATATCGCCAATATATCTATCTATATATATATACACACGTATATATCGGCGATGCGGCGCGATCTTCCGAAGCCGATCCACTCGGACCCCATTTGGGAGGCCAAGAAATGCACAGGCCCAAGCCCAGACATACCCACGTCTTGGTGAGCGTTTTTTTGTTCGGCGTTTCGACATAGGGCGGAAAGGGGGGGGGTCTGGCTCCAGGCCTCTGCTTAGTGCGACTGCTTGCAAGAGACTCTACCCGCTCGAAAAAGGTGCCGAAAAACAGCCAAGATCTACTCCAGGGGGGGGCGGAAGGGGGGTTTTGGGGCCCGCGCCGATCGGCAAAACAAGAAATGAAACAAATATTTTCGGGCCGCTGAAAGAAACAACGCTAGAGAAGGAACGGAGCCCCTTGCCTCCGTGCCCCAGGAGGGCAAGAGGCACAGCACTGAAGGAACTCAAGGAACATCGAGCCCCTTCCGAACCCAAACTGTTCCTTGTTCCAGCGTCTTGGCTGCATCACTGGACGGAAACGCAACAATTGATGTTTCCTTTGGACGCCCGAAATGGGTACGGAAAGAATGGGCACAATGCCCAACAGCAAATGTTGTCCCGAACCAAACAGCGGCCGCTGTTGGGCAGGCGGCCTTCTGTCTCAAATGAACACAGGCCGCGGCGGCGTGGACAGCGAATCCTGTTCAAAATGAACAAGAACTGATGTTGGGCAGTGTACCCATTCTTTCCGTGCCCACGTCGGGCGTCCAGATTTCCCAATTTTCGGCCTGTGGGGGGGTACCGCCCGGAGTCGGGCCGTCCACGCACTGCTCGGCGTGAGACGCCAACCACGGGTCACGGGTCGGGGACGGGAACGACCGGGGGCAGGAAAGACTGCCAAAAGGCAGCCTTGGACATGGCACGGGACCAGCACAGCGCTCGACCGCACAACAACCCTGGGCACGATCAGTCGGCGGTGGACAAACCTCCTTTTAATGAACCACCCTCGAATGAAAACGGCCTAGGACCGAAACCGACGGACCTGGAACCGCAAAAGTGACGGCCGCGACGCCCTCTCGCGAACTCAAAATGGCCAATTCGATCGTCAATCGACGTGTCAGGGTAGGAAATCTATCAACCTCCGAATCTTGGGCGCCCGAGTTATCCCGGGTAACTCGGGTCCGGGGTAACTCGGGTGTGGATTCCCGAAAAAAGAACCCGAAATACCCCTGACCCGAGTTACCCCTGATGTGGGGCTCTGGACACCCGAATTATCCGGGGTAACTCGGGCCCAGTGTAACTCGGGTTCGGAATCCCGAAAAACGAACCCGAGTTAGCCCTGACCCGAGTTACCCCTGATGATTCGGGGCGCTGAGAATCAAACAGCCTCGAGCGAGGAAATCGGACCGCATCGGAACGTACGTCGGGTCGGGCTGCCACGGCACGGCGCCAGCATCGAGCCAACCCGACCGCGCCAGAGCCGTGCGAGCATCTGGCCGCACTGGATCGCAGGAGCATCGGGGAAGCACCGGATCGGGCCGGAGAACAAATCGATATCGACTCGGGCCGGTAAGAACCGTGCTTCTTGCCTGGCGAGGTTCCCCGCAAGCACGTGTACAGTCAAAACGTATATTAAGGACGCGTGGTAAGGACGCAAGACCCTTGGAGGCTGAAGTTGGGATTTTTTGGGCGGCGGCGACTAGTGATCACGGCACGGGACGGGCCACAGAGGCAAGGACGCAAGGGTATGCCAGATGAAGGCGCGCGTCCTTACTAGGCGCGCTGACTGCACAAACATGGAAGAAGCGGTATCCACCTAAACTTCTGGAGCTCCACGGGGATGCACTGGATCTGCGCTGTGCCCGCCCCCCCCCCCTTCCCTGGCGCGTGGGGCGCGCCGGGGGCGGCGCCAGCGGAGCCGCCAGGGGGGCCGAGTGCCGACCCAAGAAGCCCGCGCGAGGCTCCAGAACTTCCTCCTCATCTTCTTCCTCCTCCTCCTCCTCCTCCTCCTCCTCCTCCTCCTCTTTCTCCTCCTCCTCGTCCTCGTCCTCCTCCTCCTCCTCCTCCTCGGTCTCCTTCAAGGAAGGGGCCTCGCTTCTGACCTGTCGAGAAGACCCGCGGGCGGCCGAAGCTGTCTGTCTCTAATAGACCCCCGAAGTCCGGGTCGTTTCACAGCTTTCGGGGGCGGCCAGGAGGGGGGTGTCCAAGAGAGGGGGGGGTGCAAATCGTGGCCGGCGGCATGTGCGCGGCCCAGCGGGGGGGCCAGGGACGGAGTGGCATAAGAAGATTGGGCGTCCGAGTTATCCGGGGTAACTCGGGTCCGGGGTAACTCGGGTTTGGATTCCCGAAACACGAACCCGAGTTAACCCTGACCCGAGATATCCCTGATGATTCGGGGCTCTGGATGCCCGAATTATCCGGGGTAACTCGGGTCCGGGGTAAGTCGGGTTCGGAATCCCGAAAAACGAACCCGAGTTAGCCCTGACCCGAGTTACCCCTGATGATTCGGGGCTCTGAGAAGAGGCACCATAACATCTGGGGAAATAGCATGGCCCCCGCCATGATGTCCCCCCCACCCCCAAGCCATCACCCCCCTCTCTGCCGCCCCCGATCACAGCTTGGCCCCCTGGACGACTCGACCCAATGTCCCGAGACCGCTGCTTTCATCCAGAGCCGCCTCCTGTGAATGGGGCCCCAGGACACACAGATAAATAGACACACGAATAACAGGATCCCATACTTTCCTATAGTTTCTTCTTGGTTTTCGTCTCCCCCCCCCCCTTCCCATATTTTCCCATATTCTCTGGGGAATCGACGATTCATTGTGTCTGTGTGTTTTTTCCCTCCTGATTTTGACGGCCCCTGGGCCTGGCGAGGGCCTCGGAGGCCGAAGAGGGCCCCAAACCTTCGGTCGTGACTCCTTTCACAACTTGAGGGGGGCGCTGGTCGGGCCGGGCGGAAGGGGGGGATAGCAGAGGGGGGGGGGGAGAATCAGCTGACGTAGCTGATTTCCCTGGCGCCTCCCGGCGCTGGGCCGGGCGTTGGCAGAACTGGGTTTAGTGGAACCTGGTCTAAAAATTTGTACCGGGGGCGCCTCCCCGTCCCATGTCCACTAACCGGAACTGCCGTCACCCGAAAAACACCGGTTACGGCAAACCTGGTTTAGTGAATCTGGCCAATTGAAGGGCCCCAGGGCCCCACCACTGACCGGGTCCCCCTACCCGGGGTCATGGCTATACCCGACTGGGAGGCGCCCACGTATCGAGGAATGGGCCCGGCTGCGGGGCCGAAACCAGCTGCACGCAATGGATTTCGTAACCCCTCCCTTTTCCCAATCCCCCCGGGCCCTTTCGTCCGGCCCGAAAGGGGTTCCGGGGAGGCGGTCTCTGGGGGATGCCACGTCTCAGGAACGGCCAAGAGGGGGGGTGTTCAAGAGGGGGGGTGCAAATCATGGCCGGCGGCACGTGCGCGGCCCAGCGGGGGGGGGCCAGGGACGTAGTGAAATAAGAACGGGCGCCATGAACTTTGGGGAAATATCATGGCCCACGCCATGATACCCCCCCCCCCCCTAGTCATCACCCCCCTCTTTTCCGCCCCCGACTGGGGAGGAGGAGAGGAGGAGGGGGGAGGAGGAGGAGGAGGAAAAGGAAAACGAGGAGGAGGAGGAAAAGGAAGAGGAGGAGGAGGAGGAGGAGGAGGAAGAAAAGGAAAAGGAGGAGGAAAAGGAGGAGGCGGAGGAGGTAGAGGAAAAGGGGCTCTGGGGGGGCGGTCTCTGGGGGATGCCCCGTCGGTGCCGTGTTTTGCATCTGCCCGGGCGCGCTCCCCGCGGGCCTCCTGCGCGCGTCGGCCGGGGCGACGCGCTGCCGCGGTGCCGCGCGGTGCCGCGCGGGCTGCCGCGGTGCCGCCCGGGCGGGCCCCCCGCGAGCGAGAAGCCGCGGCTACGGTCCGGTCGGGACTGTCTCCCGACAGGGGGATGTTCGACGAACAATAAAAAATACAGAAAAATACTCCCAAATGGTCAAAAAGTGCAAAAAAATGTTCCCCGGATTATGTTTGTAATATTTGTGTATATTCCCCCTACCAGTCCGCGGCGCACCTGCTCCTGCACATCCACTTCGGCACCGCCTGCACCCCTGGGCTTCGCCCACTCCGGCCGCCTGAGGCCCCGCCTTCCTGTGCCCTGTCTCCCTGATTAAATCTGCGCGTTGCTCGCCTAGCTTTTAACGGAAGAGGTTCGGTCTCGCCCCGCAGATACAAAAATTGTGCATATCCCCCATGTAGAGGGACATGCCCTACTGAAGGCTGCGGCCATCGTGCCGCCACAGGGCACGCTGCGCGAGGAAGGAAGGGGGCTTCTCTGGCCGCGGCGAGCCTCGGCCACGACGAAGTTCCCCGCCCTGGATCTAAGCACGGGCCCGAATACCAGGGCCCTTCGAGAAGCCCCCCAAGAGCCCCCCGAGAGGCCCCAGGGGAGCCCAATACGCCGCCAAGGAGCCCCAAGACGTTCCCAAGAAACCCCAAGAAGCCCCCAAGACGGCCCCAAGAGGCCCCAAATAGCGCCCCAGGGCCGACGGAATGAGCGAAACGATCCGCCGCCCCACCGGGAACGGCGTGTGAGATGCCCGCCGCATGGCCTGCACGAACTCAGCCCCCTCAATCTACGCGCGCACGAACTCCTCGTACCAATACCCATTCCTCTGAGCCCTTGCAACCCCTCCTGGGGCCCCCCCCGCGGCCTGCTCATTCCGCCGGCCCGGGGGCCACAGCTGCGGAATGAGCGCTCTTTGGCCATCACTTTCGCTTCAGAACACACCTCGTTGGAAATGTTCGTCTTCAAGGCGCCGCCGGCCTCTCTCAGAGGCCTCTCCGGGAGCTCAATGACTCGATTTTGGAGGCCTCCAGACGCTCGCCTGGGGCGATCTTGGCCGTCCTCCAAGCCATTTTGGTCCAGTCTGACAGCCCGCCCACCTCTCCTCGGCCCACTTCGGCTACAAAAAAACAACACGCACAAAACCTCGCAAAACACATCTGATTATGTCCATTCTGGCCTTGTCGAGCCTCTATTCTTGCCTCGTTTCGAGCTCACGTGCGTCTTCGCGGGCTCTTGGGGGCAGGTTGGAATCAGCGGGCGCTCTCTGCGGCTGTCCTCCACGCCTCCCGACCCCGGCCTGGGCCGCCTGGCAGCATTGTTGGGGTTTTCCTGGGCCGTCCTGGGCGCGCCCATGGGGTCCCCGGAGTCCCTTTTGAGGCCCCCAAACTAATTGGGATCTCGTTTGTACGCCTCTCCGTATGCCTCTTCCTCTCGTCTACACTTTTGCACACCCTCAAGCGTCCTTTTTAAATCATGTTCAGACTCTCTTACGGCTTTCTGGCGTCTTTTTCAATCATTTTCCGGCTCTCCTGGGGCTTTCTGAGAGCCTTTAAGTCCCCACTTTCATATTTGTCCAGGCCCTCTCAGACCTGATTGTCCAATCTGGCGTATTGTTTAGATAATGTTCCGGCTCTCTTGGGGCTGTCTGAGAGTCTTTAAGGCCCCACTTAACAAAAGCCCAGCCAAAGCTGAGTGAACACCCCCGCTACATCCCGATTTGCCCCCCACGCAACCTCCGCGTTCCAAACAAAAAGCGGGGCGGCGGTGTCTGCCCCCTCAGGGGCGTTCAATCAAAAAAATTACCAGGGCCCTTCGAGAAGCCAGAGTAATCCTAATTGCATCGTCTCGACTGTAGTGACACAGACCTAATGAAGGGGGGGGCGAAGGCGCGGCTGGCGGGGGCGACCGTGGGAGGAGGGCGGGAATGGGGCGCGAAGAGGAAGTGGGAGAGACGGAGGAGGCAGAGATGGGGAGGAGGTCGAAGAGGGCGTATCGGAGGGGCGGATGGAGGAGAGCAGGGGGGAGGCAAGGTGGGGGGGAGGGGTGGAGGAGGAGGCGGACGAGGGGGAGAGCAGCTCGGCCTGACGTTTCGCTGCACCCTCAGGAGAGACGGAGGGCGCCATGGGGCAGAGTGCGTGAAGTCCAGGTGTGCAGGTAGAGGAGGACGGGGCGAGGCGAAGACGGGCGGGGAGGTGGATCTGAATCCACAGGCCGCACCAACCCCGAGCGCGCAGGTCGCCATCACGAGTGTCGTCACCACCACCGTCATCGCCATCGCCTTCAGCACCACCGACGACAGCGCCGTAGTCACCGTCACCACCCACCTTTCCTTATCACCACCATCGCCCTCACCGTCATCGAACTTGTCATTCCCATGGTGCTCGCCATCGCAGGTAAAATGAGGGCTGACTGCGGTCCCGATCTCCGACGCGGAGGAGGAAGAAACAAAAAGGTACCGATATCGCAACTCCCTGGACCTCTTATGGGGTGCGTGCTGACCAGGATTTCGAGGCGAACGCAACGGTGGCGACGAGAACCTCCCAGGAGACCCAAAAAGAGGAAAACAAGGGAAGGGTAGAGGTATGGGTACCTATTCCTTCTCTGAGAGGAGGGGGAGGAGGAGGAAGAGGAGGAGGAGGAGGAGGAGGAGGAGGAGAAGGAGGAGGAGGAGGAGGAGGAGGAGGAGGAGGAGGAGGAGGAGGAGGATGGGGGGGGAGGAGGAGGAGGAGGAGGAGGAGGAGGAGGAGGAGAGGAAGGAAAAGGCCAGCAAAGCGCGCACCAGCCGACAAGGGCAAAACGCGCGGCGCGGCCTGGATGCTGCGGCACGGTCGGCCGGACACGACGCCCGCCTGGCGCGGGCCGGAGGGGAGGGTGTCCCGTTTTCTTAGGTCGGAAGGCGCCTGGGCGGAGGGGTGGGGAGAGGGCAGGGAGGAGGGAGGAGCGACCGGGAGGGAAGGGAGGGGGGGGGAAAGCTAGGGGAGGAGAGGAGTGGGAGGGTGATGGGGGAGAAGACAAGGACTGGAGGGGTGGGGCGACTGTGAGGCTCGGAGATCATGGGATTCGGACAGCTGGTATGTTCATCCCCTCGCCCTCAAACCCTCGCACCCGCCACTCCATCCCCCCGTCTGGAGTACAACCTGTTTTTTCAGTCTCTGCCCTTCTCAAACATCTCCAACCATGATGCTGCTCCCACATGATGCTGTGCCTCCAACCCATCTCAATCCTGTTCTGTTCCAGCCGCACTCCCTCCTCTTCCATCCAATCACGAGCCGCTACGCCCGCACTGACGCAACCATCAGTCGCGTAGCAATTACCAGACAAGGAGGTTGTGCCTGAGGGTATCGCCACGTCTCTGGGTCCTCCAGCGGGGCCAGTTCTCAAGATCATGCGCAGCACAAGAAGACGACAGATGCATGTCTTGCTACACTTCAGCCATCAACGGAACGGGTGTGCTGGCAGACGCTCCCAGAGATCAGCGCGTGCTCATCGGGGATCTTCTGACCTGGGTCAATCCAGACCCGGGTCAGCAGGAAACCAACAACTGCAATGCAGGAGCAACAAAAACTGCAACGCAGGTCTTCGCAAACCCGGGTCAGCCAATAGGTGCGGCCGCCTCGCGGCCACGAGCGGCTCGCTCACCCGGGTCAGCCAGAGGGGGTCCTCGCAGGATCCTGCAGGATCTGGCGCTCGGGCTGACCCCCGTTTGCATGGACCCCCGTCTCGAGGCTCCCGAGCAGACTCTGGAGGACAGGCACCCGGCGTGGCCTGGGACCCTCCGAGGCAATGCAACGGCACAGGCATGCACATTTTAGTACGCGAGCCATGGCCATCTGACCGAACACGCTGAACAAGTCTAACGCGCTGGTACTCGTAGCTTGCATACGGCAGGTTCGTGTCGTGCCGACCCCAGCGTTGGTTTTTGACACCGCAGGGATCGTTCAACCTTGCACGATCGGCCGCTGCCGCAACGTCCAATCGTTCAACATCGATCGATTCTGGGTCGCCGGCGGCGTTCAACCTTGAACGCCCGCGCTGGGGTCGCCGCTGGTCGACACGACGCAAACATACCGTAACCATGTTGTCGGAAAGCAAGCGACGCGCACACACAAAAACATGTGTAACAACAGGGAGTCTCGGAGTTCTGCGTGGATTTCTGGCACCGGCGCTGGGTCCTCCTCCCTGGCGCCGCCAGGGGGGGGGGGGGCCGAGCCGATCCAAGAATCTGCGCGGGTGTCCAACACCTGATGCTGATGACGTTTTCGTCTTCGAAGTATGCGTGTAAGTTGGTGCGAATACAGTCGGGGCGTTGACCTCAGGAACCCTAAATAAGGAACGAGGCCCCTTTTTTCCCATAAGCTCAACCTCGATTCCCGATGGAAAACCGCAGGAAAACCCGAGGCAAACTTTGAAACAATCAAGGAACACCGAGCCCCTCCCCAACGAAAAGGGAGGGTTCGTTCTTCAGGGCCCCGACTGTACCTTACGTCGCCCGGCCCGTGCATCTGGCACGACGCGGAGTGCCCCAGGGCTCGTGCAGCGCTGAGAAGTGCAGGCTGCGCTGCTGCTGCTGCAGCCAGAACTGGAAACCTTTTCAGAGCACGGACCCACCGGTTCCCATCAGGAGGGAAAGAAACACACAGACACAAGTAATCGTCGACTCCCAAGAATATATATATATATATATATAAGAATGAATATGGGAAGAGGGGGGGATACCAAAACCCCAAACATATGGGAACATATGGGGAATATATTTTTTATATTTGTGTGTATTTATGCGTGTGTGTCCCAGGCCGTCGTCGGCCGTCTCAGGGGTTTCCCGGGCTGGCTCCCTCGAGTTCTGGGGTTGTTTCCTGCGGGTCCTCTGGATGCTGTGACCGCCCAAAACGGTCCAAGAGAGCCCCGACTGGCCGAAACATATGTTAAAGACATTGCCGGTAGCCTCGAGACGGCCCCAGACATCTCCAAGAGGCCTCCAACAGCACCCCCACAAGGGCCCCAAGAGGCCAAAATCATGTATTCCCCCCAAGGTGTTTGAAGGATTTTGGCGTTCTCGCCTTTTCGGCTTCCCGACGCTCCCAGACGGCCCTAGGGGCCCTCAAGACCGCCGTCAGACGGCCCAAGAGGCCCCCAAGAGGGCTCCACATCGGCCCAAGAGGTCCCCAAGACGGCCCAAAAAGTTGTTTGATATAATCCTGGCAATGCCAAACTGTACACTCACTTCCGCCTGCGGGTCTTGACGACCTGATTCTGGCGGGCCCACTGGCTTCTGCCAGGAGGTTGGCCCTTGGCCACCTTCTTCAGCATCCTGGCGCCATAGTCACTGAGGTGACCAGCACATTGATGCTTCAAATTGCGAACCGCCATGGCCGCAATGAAACCACACGTGAAACAAACTGTGGTGCCCCATGCTTTGCTGTAACCTAACATGTGGGACGGGCGCAACCCTTGACCATTTACCACAGCGCCTTGTGGTATCATAACCACTCCATTGAACAACCCTGCGCGGCAAGGAGTGCTCAGGAACTGCCGAGCCAGGGAGCGGGGGGCCGAGCCTCCACAAACTTTACATTGGATGCGGTGCTTCCTACCCTCCTCAGGCGTGTGAGCGGTTAGATCCAACTGGATCTTATGCTCCTTGAAATGACGCTGCGCAACCTTTTCTCGTGGGGCCCTGTCCCCGTCCGCCTCAATCGCAGACAAAAGAGTGTACCCGAGGTGGTCCCGAACCTGGACAGCAGTCCCCTGGGCGAAGGACCTGCTGTCTCGGTCCTTCTCTGGCGCACGCAAATTATCTGCCCACGAGCTGGCGATGCAGTCTGCAACTGCGTTGACAAGGTAGCGCAGCTGATCCGCACCTGCGGCAGAGACGTGCTCGGCACTCCTGTGACTCTCGACCTTGACTACGACCAATCCCCGTTCGGGGTGCGTCTGAATGAGAGCTCTGAGCTGGTGCCACACGTCGAGGTGAGACTGTGGATTGATCCCTGCCCTTAACTTGGCAAAGTTGTTAACAACATACGAAGAATCTGTGACAAAATAGGCCGAGGCAGTCGGAAACACCGCACGCGCGGACTCAACCAACCACAAAACCTCGCCTCGGTTGACCGACTACCTCGACCCTGGGATGCCAAATCCAGCGGCGTGCGTGCGAAGGCTCTCGATCGAGTACTGTCCGTCCTCGTCGAGCCCTCTCAGCACCACCCAAGACCAGGCAACTCCACGAAGCATAGGATCTTGAGTATCCTGGCCGCCGCTCGCGCCCCCACCACCGAAGACAAAACCGTTCGCAACGGCCACATCCAAGTCATCACCCAACCTACGGAAATCAGCAACTTCGGGTGGCGGGGGGACGGCGGTCCAAGAACTGGGCGTCAGCCCTCTGGTCCAGAAACTAGGATTGTGCTCTGCATCTGCTCTGGCTCTGCGAACTACGAAATCTGAGACCTGGCAAAAATCTGCATTCTTGGGGCACTCCCAAGCTCTGTGAAGGTCTGACTCGAGCACATGCTGGCATCTGCGACAGCAGCTGTCCTGCGAAAGGTTACACTCCTGCATGCGGCAGCGGGTCCAACTGTTGCCCGTGGCGACCGCACGTAGGATGCCAGCCCACTCATGTTTGCCTCTCTTCCTGAGCCTCCTGAGGCCCCTTCTGAAATCAAAAAGATCTGGGACCAACTCAAGGCCCTGGCCATTCCACGAATTTTGAGCGGCAGCAGACCACAGCTTGCGTTCCATGCTAGCTGCCGGAGCCTCCTTGATGACAGCAAGATCAACCCTACCCCGCGAGAAGGGACTCGTCAATAGCATACCTAACTCCCAGATCGCACCCCCAAGCCCACGGACCCCAAGGCTCCCAACCAAGATCAAGCAGAGTGGCAATAGTCGCCGCAGCAGGGGTGGCGACACCTCTCCACCTGTGCCTGGCGGGCCTGTCCCGCAGACGCGCGAGAACCTTTCTCCAGACTCTGCGGATCCTCTCAGCATGGAAACTGCAATCCGTTAAAATGAAGAACCATGCCTCGATCGTGTCGAAGAGAGCGAGGAAAGCAGGATCATTCCTCCCATACTCAAGCGCTAACTGCGTGGTGAGGCACCTACCCCCCTTAGCGACTCCCCCCGTCAACCGACCCAACGACCGACGCCATCTCAGAACGACATGGGGGCAGTGCCGTGCACCTTGTCAGAACAAGTTGACTTGGCGAAGGCAGCCGCGAGGGCCATCTTCTTCGCCCATCTATTGCATAACATGCTGCCTGCAGCTAGCTTATGAAGCTTACCCAAACGCTTAACCGTGGCTTGCCTACGTGCTGCCTGCTTCGGCCTAGACGCCCCGACTCTACCTCGGTCTATGCCTAGGTCAGCACTGACTAGTTTGACCTGGGTGTCTATATGGTGTCCCTTGAAAAACTGATGCAACTGCTTGGCTACACTGGTACTCGAGCAGATGATGCACGACTTACTGGCCATGGAAAGGTGAGCCTGCTCGAGACAACGGACCAGCTTCAGCCCCGCACTTGAGAACTGTCTGAAAACTAACTCGCTTGTGCCGTGCATGCATTGCACAATGTCATCCACCCAAGTGTGGAGGCTCGGCGCCGCAGGAGCCCCAGTGACAAGTTGCGCGCAAACATGGTGCAGGGCAGCTCTTCCTAAGTCGACTGAACCACTGCTACCTGGAATGAATGACAGCTCTGGGTCTACAGGGGGCGAGTAGCCCCCCCCATCTCGAAGAAACCTGACCGCCATGTGCATCTGCAACTCTAGAGCAAGATAGCAAGGCGGGAAATCTAGATCCAGGGCCTTCTCCAAGATGAGGCCCCATCGGATGCTATCATAGAACCCTTTCGCATTCCAGAGCAAACTACCACTGTGAAAGTCGGGGAAGCTAGAATTGGCCGCTTCCCCATCCAGACAAAAGGCGCAACAACGCAACTTGCAGGGCCGAGAAGCCCGCCAGCGCCGTGTCCCACGTGCCAGCAGTGCCTCTCGTCCAGGTAGCTCTGTCATCGTCTCTTAGCCTGCCCCAGAATCTCACCAGCCAGGCAAGCAGGCCAATCGCGCGATCCGCTTCCAAGTCCTTGACCTGGAGGGTGACGAGAATGACCAAGACTTGCCATGGCCAACAGCACTCTCTTTCCACCTGGGAGAGCAGCCCTGCCAGATCATGCAGGCCCGCCCTAGGCAACCAGAGGAAGTCCTTCTTCGTCATCTGGTCTACCCCTGGCGCGCGGTCTGGCAGGGCTGAGATGAGCCTGGAAAGCTGCTCCTCAGTGGTCTGCCTGGGCTCGAGTGCCTTTGCCTTCGACTGGGCTTTCCTCCAAAGTTCGAAAACACACTGGAAAGTGGGGGGATCCCC